CAGTGTTGGGCAAAATTTAGTTAACTAATGATTGATGACTAATGATTGAATGTGTTAGTTATGATTGATGACTAATGATTATTTAGTTTAATCACGAGGTGATGACTAACGATTGATTAGTTTTAATCTTAATCAAATAATCATGATTATTTATTTATGATTGATATTTTTTAATACGAGGTAAGGTAAAATATTTTTTCTGCTTCTTAAAAAAATACTGAATTGGACACAAAACGTTACTGTAGGTTAGGTTAGACTTTAGTGTTTTAGTTTAAAATTCAGTATTTTTTGGTGGTCAGATAAATAGATGCCCTGGTAAAATCTTATGATACGGAGAAATGGTTTTCAGTATAACGGGGTTTTTTGTAACACCTTCTATAACTTTAGTAGTTTTTAGGGTCCCGTACCTCATCTGACTGTAATCATGTAATTTATTACTTGTTTTTCGAAAAGTAAATGATGTCATCGTATTGCTTTAACGATTATAAGACTAACTAAATTACACTTGTATTATTTTATTTATTTATTAATCATCTCAGTGTAACTGTATTGAACTTTATAAACACAAATAATATATTTAAGAAAGCTATATAATATAGGGTGTAAAGGATGGCTTACCAAAGTAAAACCATGGACCCAGATCATCATCCTAAGTAACGGACCGAAGGGATTTTTTCTCGGAAAAGAAAAAATTTTGGCCTTTCTATACATTATATTCTATTAGCAGCCGACTTTAATATTTTGTATGCAGAGTCAAAAATTTTTTTCATTTCCGTACCTAATTCCTTCAGTACTTTACTCAAGATAATGGTCTGAGACTTCGGTCAGCTGATCCTTATACCCTGTATGTGTAGTGTACCAACACCTGTGCATCGAGCTTAGTCATACATTCATGATTAAAACTAATGATTGGTGATTTGCGATTAACGAATTTAGTCATGACTAATGATTGTTCTCGTTAGTTATGATTAAATTAGTCATGACTAACTTAATCATGATTAGATCAATCATGATTGATCAATTGATTGAATAAATTAGTTGATTTGCCCAACACTGTGTCATATACATGTAAGTTTATTTAGGGATTTATTTTATGTAAGTCTATACTATCCTTTGGAGAACCTAACGCTCGACGTGCAGGAGAAGGAACGGGGTGGTTTTTAGTAAATCTGACACTCCCTCCCGCCTCACCCAGGCGGGAGCAGTCATTCGATGATTTCCCCCCCTTAAAAAAAAAAATACTATCCTTTTATGTATTTCTGTTGAGTCTTAAATACGCTTGCTTCTTGCATCGACCATTGTTTATGTCTCTGCATCACCCAAAGGTCTGGCTGGAGGAGAATGCCCTAGGAATTAAGCCCACCTTGTACATTAGTGTGTGCATGAAGTCTTTAAAATAAAAAAAACTTTAGTTTTATTTAATTTTTTATTTTTTTGAAGGGGTTCCAATGACTTCTCCCGCCTTGGGTGACGCTAAAGGCAGACTCTTAGTGACTAAAAACCACCCCGTTCCTACTCCTGCAGTTCGAACCAGAACCCGTTAAGCCGTGCACGAACAGTTAAGGTTCAGTTTGGTAATCGTTTCGTTGAAACAAGACAGCTAAAAACAAGTAAGTGATTATAAAAATAAAAACAAAATGATTCTGTTTCTTAATTTTTATTGGTAAATTCACATTCAAATAATAGATCACGTCGAAGACAGATATTACAATATGGGATCTCTACTGATAAAATTTAGTAATTATTTTCTATGATACTGTATCGGTACTTTTCAATTTCTAAATCTACTGCTCCATTAGCTACATCGATTTTAGAGTGCGTAAATGCTTCAAAATTCCAGTGTCATGAGTGAGTTCAGCTATGAGACCTTCAGAAAATAGAAAATCGAAAATACACAATTACATTGTTCACTTACGAATTCACGATACAGATCGGACATCAAAAATATTTCTATATTAATAAACTACTTTCACATAATCGTTACTAAAAAAGACAAAACGTGCGAGTCACGTCGCGCGTGACGCAAACGATACATGTGATCAAATTTAATCTAATCGATTACTTCATTAATGATCGCGAACTACCATTCTCGCGGAATATATTCACAGACATTTGTTAAGCATGTCCATGGTGATAGTATGAAGTTAAGAAACAAGGCTCGACCGGACCACCGGGCAGCGCACCTGAGATTCAGCGCCCGCGGCCGGCCGCGCCCAAACACATCTCTCTGTCGCACCGCTCTCTTCTATTGTACAAACATTACCGTATTAAATAGTCACAGGTCAATTTCAGTCCAACTATCAGTTTACGAATTAAAATAAAATATATTAATCTAGAACGTTTCACATCGCTTAAGTTACGAATGAAGGGGTCGAGTACGGGGTCGCGTGCGGTGCGAGGTCTGCGGAGTGCGAGCGGACGCTTACGAGTCCCACCAGTCGGGGCCGCCGCTGCTGCCGCCGCCGCCGCCGCCGCCGTACGACCCGCCGTAGTTACCGCCATACGACCCGCCGCCGTATCCGAACCCTGCGACATAAAACGGCCAGTTAGGAAAGACGTTTTTTTTCATAACACCATTGCACATTTTAACTCAATAATACTGACCAGAACCAATAGTAGACGGCCCTGCCGATCGTGGAGTTTGACGCGATTGAGTACGGAAATCTCTAGCGCCAAAGCCACTGCCGCTGCTTGCAAATCGTCCCCCGCCAGACCTGCTCCCAGTCCGACGTCCGCCGCCACCAAGACGCCCATCAGCTGCCGTGCTCGTCAGCCAACTAGAAAATAAAATGTGTTAAGATGAATTTATTTATAACTAACTGAATGCCGTGAGAAAACTGTTGCAGGCAAATCCTCCGCTAACGATGTACTTGTACAATTAAGTTATAAATAAGCAGCTTTAATAATATTGTTTTGTCAAAAGACAACCACCCTCGAATTCAAATTAATGGTGCTAACAAACAACAAAAAAAATTACGTAAATTCTTACTTTGGCACATCCTGCTTTGCCTCAACGAGGAGCTCAACGAGGTCCCGCGCGAGGCCACGGTTAGTGTCGTTGAAGAAGGACGTGGCCACGCCCAGGTTACCCATACGGCCGGTACGACCGATGCGGTGCACGTACTCTTCAACGTCCGACGGCAAATCAAAGTTAATCACGTGACGCACGTGCGGTATGTCCAAACCTGTATTAATTAAATAATTATCAATACCATTCCAATACTTATATTGTAGTTAGTGATAATTTTTCGGAATTTTATTCATTTTACAGAAAGCGTGGCTTACCTCTGGCCGCGACGGCGGTAGCGACAAGAATCGGTGTCTGTCCGGAACGGAACCGGCGCAAAGCTTCTTCACGCTCGCGCTGGGATCGGTCGCCGTGGATGGACGTGACTGGGTAACCAAGGTTATCCAAGAACACTTCCAGTTGGTCGGCACCTGTACAAAAAGTTAGGTTATGTTAGATTAAGCACTGATTGACAGATGGATAATTTTATTTGTATGTTTCAAAAGAGTATTTATTTATGTGAATATGTATCTTAAGTCAAACTTAAGAAGACTTAAGGTTCTCAAGTCAAAGTACTTTAAACTACTTTAACGATTTGATATGATACTCAGCATATATATTATTCATCATAAGCAGGTCTTTGCTAAAACGCGATCACGTACTAACGCCGGCAGTCGGTCCCCGCTGAATCGAATGTTTGGGACATATAATAATAAGTTGAGTACATTGGATATATTTGGCAATAGTAAACATGCATACAGGAAGCAAATAATCAAAATATTATCACAGGAAAATATATAAACCACAATATCGTACATCGTTATGTTGTGTTATAACTGCAACCTACACACACAGACACACACACACAAATCAAACAAACATATGCATGCATACATACACGCATTTTTTTTTTTTATTATTTTCACCACGGTAACACTTCCTATGAAACCTGATTGAAACATGATTATATTAAGGTGCAGGTTCATCATTTTCTAAATCATTTATATTTAGGTGACCATTGATGTTGAGTTTGCAATAAGTAAAATTGTATTAGTTAAGATATAAATATTAAGGTGTATTGTAAACTTGTTTGTGGTTCCAAAAAAAAAAAAAAAAAAAAAAAAAAAAAATTATTAAAGAATCATGGTCAAAATATACCTTTCTTCGTTTCAACGAATACAAGGATCAGTTGATCCTCTTCCGGGCGTGCACGTTGCAGTAAGTTGGAAGCATTCAGCAAATCCAACAGGAAAGAACGCTTATCCATTTCCTCCACCCATACCACCTGCAATTTATACATTTTTGTACATCTGTTTTGATAGTAATATGTAAAATCATGACAAATGATATTATATTAAAACATTACCTTCTGGGTGATATTTTCAGATGTGGAACCGACGCGTCCAACAGCAAGAAAAACATAATTATATAAGAAATCCTGCGCTAGCACTTGGATTTGTTTAGGGAAAGTCGCCGAGAACATGAGCGTCTGGCGCTCGCCAGTCTTTGGCATCGTGTGGCTCTCGACAATCTTGCGGATCTGAGGCTCGAAACCCATGTCCAGCATACGGTCAGCCTCGTCCAGCACGAGATGTCGGCAGTGGTCCAGCGCCACGCGGCCGCGCACCAGCATATCCACGAGTCGCCCCGGGGTCGCAACCAACAGGTGACAACCCCGCTCCAGCTCGCGGAACTGCTCGTGTATAGGGGACCCGCCATACCTGCCCATACAATCCGACTCATTATTATGTGATACTTTAACATACATAATATCATACTTGTTACAACTTGTACAAGCGACAACTTACACGACACAAGGTCTCACACGAGAACGGTAGGCAAATTTCCTAGCCTCATCAAATATTTGCGTTGCAAGCTCGCGCGTCGGAGCCAACACCAGGCCCAGCGGGTACTGCTTGCGCCGGATACATGGTCTGTAAAACAAAAACATTTCGTCATAAATCAATCATGTGAAGAGGAGGAGTACTTGTTGGCAAGGAATACTCACCCCATATGTTTAACGGGGCCAGCTTCGTACATCTGATTGAGGATGGGCACAAGGAATGCGGCCGTTTTTCCTGAACCAGTCTGTGCGCACGCCATGACATCTCTTCTAGCCAGCACGATCGGGATTGCATACTTTTGGACTGGTGTCGGCTTGTCGTAACGAGCGGAGGCTATATTCTGGCGCATTATTTCCGTCAGGTTAACATCCTCAAACTGTAAAGAAAACATCGCATAATATTAAGAATTATAATAACAAACAGAGGAAACAAGTACTAATTAGTAACAAGTTACAAATATTATGATGATGACATGATTTTGTGACTTACACTGGTGATGAAATCTGGGACACGATCTCCGCTGGCCTCAACTGGTATGTCCTCGTATTTCGAGAAGTTGATGCCTGTGTTTCCAGTGCCAAACAGCTCCAACTCCTGCCGCTCGTCGCGAGGTAGCGGGACCGTCCAATCATTCTATAATATACAATTTTCCTCATGATCATTGGCTCTATGTGTATAACTTACATCAGGTGGACAAAGTTGTAAGGGGCGAGTTACTAAAAGCTTTATTTATGGCATGCTGCCAGTCCAGTTACATACATATGAAATTCAGCTACTAAAGCTAAAGCCACAGCAACTATAAGCATTCCAAATTTAAAATTTACAGGAATTATCTAGTAAATTTCCTCAAGGCAATTCTTCTGTAAAAGTGTTTTGAAGCAGTAGTAAGCATAAATCGAATGTGTGCAGCCCGCCCAATATAAATGTAATAAACTTTGACTGACGGAATTGTTTTCATGGCCAACCTCGTCCCTGCGATTGCTCGTGCGGCGTACATCATCGGAGGGCCAGCGCGAGTTGTTGCGGTCGTCAGCGCGTGGCTCCGGCTCCTTCCAGCGGTCGTTGCGCGGCTGCGGCGGCTCGTTGAAGTCCTCGTCGCGGCGCACGTCGCGCGACTCGCGGCTCGACGCGCCCGCTCCGCCGGCCGAGCTGCGCCCACCGCCGCCGCCGCCGCCGCCGGGAACTACACTGGTGCCACCGCCGCCGCCGCCGCCGCCGCCACCGCCACCGCCGCCGCCGCCGCCGCCCGAGGAGCCCCATCTCTCGGACGACTCCGACCAGCGTTGTGGCTCTGAATCGCCATTTTGATAGCCTGAATCACGACCTAAATAAAAAGACTCATTTAATGGGAAAGCAACAAAACTGATTGACCATATTAACTGAACCGAAAACATCTCACTTCTCAGAAGTCAAATAGATGACTGACCTTATCCAGCCATATTGGAAATGCAAGTCGGACTTTTCCATCTAGTTAATTCTATCAATCATAAACATAATAACTAGTAAGTAATATAACCACCAGGTCATACATGGTGTTTCAATAATTATCAATTAAACAATGTCCATTATATAAAAGAATGTGAAATATGATCTCCAGCACTTTAAATAAACTTGAAACATAGAGCTTGGTATATCACTTATTGCTACTTAGGCAGCCACTTAAGAAATACCAATCAATACATAGATAACAACAGAGGCTGAGATAAGATTGTAGATAGACAGTGATGTCTAGTGAGGTTATTACATGTGTGAAGCGTGTACGAGCCACATGAGCAGCTGAAGACATATTGTGCACATACCGCGGTCTCTGCGCGGGTATCGCGAGTCGTTGCCGCGATCGTAGTCACGGTCGCGGTCACGTTCGCGGTCGTCGCGCCGACCACCACGGTCGTAGGTTCTAGAGTTGCCTCCGAATGATGAACGGCCGTCCCGTTGTTCGTTTGAACGGGCGTCTAAGCTTGGCCGCTTAGACTCTTCCCCTGCACAAATTAATTATCATTGAGTGATGCAGGGAACCATAGTCGTGTTAATTGATCTGACAGTCTTGTCACTATAGCCACCTGATATTAGTTTAATGTTCAGTGTCCATAGGTATGCATTTCATTACATACTTATTAAAAGTTAGTAGTGTCTGTTTTATCAGTTAATCATAAGCTCAAAGAGACCATATCATATGTTTTAATATAATGTCATGTTATATACCTATATAAAAATATTATAATTATGAATGTTATGAAATATGGTGAAACAAACAAACAGATAAACAATAGCATCAAAGGTGATCAATGAAATGTTGATGACTAAGCTCCTTGTGTAATTCCTGAAGCGATAACATCGAGTGTTTTTATAAAGGATGTATGCATGAAAAGAATTAATGACCACTGCAATACTATCAACAATTCTCTCCCTACTCAAATTTTAGGTATGTATGTATAATATGTATAGTTAAATCAATACAACTGTCAGTACCTGTACTATCTCAGTCTAGCAATAAACAGGGCAACACATTAGATAAGCAGAATGCTAAAGTATTGATAAAATCAATACTTTAATTTTTTATCACTGCCCTACTTTCTTAGAAATACTATCAACATAACGGTCATCACACAAAGTTCCTGTTTTATAAATCAGAAAATAGGGACATGATATCATTTTGTGCTGACCTCTACTCGACTCGCCTGAACAAATCGGCATAACGACGTCGGAACTACATATAGACATTTATTGTTGTTTACACTTGAGCTAGACCAAACAGTTATATTTTGAATTCATGTTTTTGTATGAGACATTAATACATTTAGCATTCATTGTGTCATTTTCAACTGTATAACAACAAATGTTGGGTTGAGGCGCAGGTCATGTTCTCATAAGCAAATCCGCAACCGTGTCGCGAGTATTTGCATAGAATGCTTCAAGGCACTTTGACATACAGACACGCACTGACTCCTATCTATTTCTATTGTATTTATGACTAACTAGGAAGTAAACCCACTCAGTTCCTGCAGATAGATAGTCCATACTGTAGACTACTCTTCTCCCTAGCTATGGTATAATATTACTAGCTTAATTAAACTGTCAAACACCAAGCGGTCACCGGTGACCGCAACCTATTGTTCTATAATTGTGTCTACAAAACCGGTACTCGACGAGAACTGGATATAATTGAATCTTATGTTAATATTGAATGAATGATTTGTAACCTAAATGGCACAAAAGTATCCATAAAAAAATCAATTTATAAAACACTAGCTTCTGCCCGCGACTTCGTACGCGCAATCCCGTTTTCTCCTGTTCCCGTAGGATTTTCAGGATTTTTTGTCTTAAGAACCTTCTCCTAATAATAAGAAACAGAACAAAAAAAGAATTAGTGAAATCGGTCCAGCCATTCACGCGTGATGCCGTGACTAAGGGTAAAAGCAATTCATTTTTATATCACTAAATAGTATAAAAAGTCGCTTTCCGCGTCTGTCTGTCCCTATGTATGCTTAGATCTTTAAAACTACGCAACGGATTTTGATGCGGTTTTTTTTCAAAGGTAGATTGATTCTTAACCTTCAAGCGGGCGCGCGTAGTCGAATCGACCGCGGTTAATACATTTTCGTTCGTATTTTTATTTTTAGTTGTCACATGCATTTCTAATTTCTAGTAGCCTGTCACTATCTTTTTAGGAGTAAAATAAAAACTATTTCGTTGCTTGAAGCGATCTCTACACTCCACAAATTACAATTATTTAGGCTCTGGCGCAGTCGTTGAAAAGACTACACGCGCCTGTCGTCGAATAGGTTACGCGCGACGCCCAACGCGACATACACATGTCAATATTATCTAATTCAGCTTGGAGTTTTGGTGTTTTAAAGCATTTTTTGTTTAAATAAGTCGTTTATGGTTATCGCAAAGTACAGTAATCGAGGAATTACAAAGAGAAGACGAAGAAGAGAGTGAATCAGAGCTTAGCAACCAAGGCTCTGAAACTTCTCATCACATAGTTTTAGAAGAACATCTATCTGATGTGATATCATCCTTGTCGGATTTAGATGAGAATAATTTGTAGCTTTCGG